TATGCAAGCCTTCAATTAAAAGCTGAAGGTTTCATATTTTATAATGTCCTTTAATACAGAATTTAGTTCTATTTATGCACGTATACGGAAGCCAAAATAAAAACAGCCAAATAAAAGAAAGAAATACTCATAATGTATGGAAAATTAGTATTATGAAATCTATATTTTCTCTGACATACCAGATCAGTAATTTTCAATTTAAAATGAAGTTTCAACTGAGTGAAAACTGAAATATATGCATATCCAGTATATATCCATCCAGTAATATATATCGTCAGTAATTTACAATCGCCTGATGAGATGCATTGATACGCATCGACATACGACCGCAATTATGTAGCGACTTTGACATGTTTTCTAAGTAATTTCCTAAAATAAATAATATTGTTCTACTCTGCATTGAATCATCTTTTAAATTAAATGTTACGAACTTTAGAATTATACTCGATTCCTTCTCATATCACCTGGACATATATATATATATATATATATATATATATATATATATATATATATATATATATATATATGTACTGACTCTCACATCGAATTCGACGTATGAGGGTCAAGCAGATCAGTTCATAGGAAACAGCACATGAGATTTGATTATAGTGGTGAAGGATTCGTGCAGAACCATCCACACTTTTTGAAGGGCCAAATACAGAGACTTGGTGCACTACGTGCCACAAGGTCTCCAAACGACCCTCCGTAGGTTTTGAATTAAGAGTTGTCCTTCTCTTAGAACAGTTGCTATCCAAGGCTATAGAACCCACTCTATCCTGCTATTTACCCATAGCTGGAGGGAGAAGATGATTCACACCTTTCCCAAGGGTATTAGCGTAAGTGAATGTAAGTGATTCTACTGAATCAAACTCGGCTCTCCGATCCCTCAATCCAAGCCGCTATCCATTACTCCAATATATATATATATGTATGTATATATATATATATATATATATATATATATATATATATATATATATATATATATATGTATATATATATATATATATATATATATATATATATATATATATATATATATATATATATATATATATATCCGTCGTGTATATAAGCCAAGGGAAACCTAGTAATATCAAATATTAAAACTGAGCCATAAAGAGCTCAATGTACTTATTATTACAGAGCAAATAATTAGTACACAATAAAATCACAAATTACCTTATACGGCGAATAGGCTTATTTTCAAACGGCGAAATTCATTGGTCGAATTCAACCCCGACTGATTTCGTGTCTGAATTAGAAATTTAACTGTGATTGTTACAAAAAAAAAATCATCGAAAAACCAATACAGAATTTGTTCTAAAAAAACTTTTGTTTGCCTCTTAGTTTCAAATTAACTTTTCATTTTTTATATAACCCCCATTTAATATCATAATTTTAATATCCGGGTTTAATTTTATTAAACCTCTTCCATATAAGACTAATGCCTTCCACCCTCCACTGACCACTGCCTTGTGCCCTTCGTCTGACTTAAACATTGAAATAGATAGATTCTGTATTAATTTTTCGGAGTTTTTGTGGGTTTTTTTTTTAGCTATCACAGTTAAATTTCTACTTCCGACACAAATTCATAAGACTGATGAATTTCGCCGGTTGAAAGTAACAAATGATAAACGTTTATAAATGTAACATGTTTCGCTTTCATTTCAGCTTCACCATAAAATGAAATATGAATATGGAATATATATATATATATATATATATATATATATATATATATATATATATATATTGAGGGTGAATGGAGTCTCTCTGAGCCTTGGTTGGCAATCCATTTAGTGATGGTGTCACGATAAAAACACCCTTGATAGCCCTAGCAAAGCATCAAGAATTCAGCTATTTGACAAGATTATGAACTACACCAATCAAAGTATTGGTGAGTTCAATCTCGGCTGAGGCCGCAAGATGATGATGATGATGATGATATATATATATATATATATATATATATATATATATATATATATAGTGAAAATAACTCAGCTGGAACTACATGAAACAACAGATATATGGGAAACTAAAGAACGTTCGCATTGTTGGAATGTCTAATATGGTTAATGGTAATTTATTTCGTTATAAGATGGAAAACAAATTTGGAAGGAACTGTAAGTGGAATAAACGCCCGACTGAACAATGAATTGCCAAATACTGCGGAAACAATTGAGAATAAGTCCTGGAATGTTATTACCACGAAATGGGCCGGTCTTTTGTGTCAACTACTTTACCAGGCCACCACAATCAGCCCTAATCACTGACGTTCGGCCCTGACTCACGACGGTTTCTTCTGGCACTAACCTGCGAGGTGTGATAACAGCTCGCTACTTGTGTATTCTGATGAGTTCAAATAGGAAAAAAAAATATCTTTGTTCAAAAGAGGAGTTAAAATAACAATGAAATAAAACTACTACTAGGAATCCCATTTTGTTTGATCCGGAGTACGACGATAAACTACATCTGGCAGCAGTTTTGACGT